CCTCGTTCCTACCTCGCACCACCTGACGCGCTCAACTCCCCCCATTACATGTTCCTAGTCGCGCAACTCCCTCGTTTCTTGCCTTTTGCTTCGACCTGTAAACTTGTATCGAAAGTAGACACACTGTAATCCCCCGGATAGATCCCCCCCCACAGGTTAGGCCCTTAGGTCCTATAATCGAGCAAAGGGGCTTATACGCAAAATTCGATTATAGGCCCCACCCGTCGAGGTTCCGCGAACCGCCTTTACAACGAGCATCGAGTTTCGCTCGAGAGCTGAAATCTACATTAATTTTTTCCTGAAATCCGTAAAATTGATTTTCCGTATAAGCCCCGGGGCTTATATTTAAAGCGAGAAGGTAAAATAGTGAAGGCTGGCCCAACTTGAAAGAGGACTCCCCCCTGTGACTTCTCTTGGAAACCTCGGCTGACAAATTACTGTTCCAAAGTGACGCGGGTTGGAAAAATGAAGTTTGATCTCAAAGCTGATTGGATCCCGCCAACATGATCGTCGCGAGACGAAACTCGCGACGTGTCAAAGCTGTATTTCTGACACGAAATGCTTGTCAGGGTTAGTGTTTCCCTGTGCGATTCTGGCATGGCGAATGCATGCGACGGGTTGAGTCTTTCGGATCCAGTTGGGCCCAACTCGGATTTCAAATTGGGCCTGGGTTCATAATTGCTGCAAAGAGCACTTCTCCATTTCCTACGCGAAAGTTCATTTCCTGGCTAGTTGACCCCCTGTTTTTTCCACCTTAGTGCCTAGGAAAAGTGAGGAAAATGTGCTGCAACGATATAGGGAGAGAGTGGCGCGGCGGGAGGGAAAGAGAGATAGTTACGCGGCGGGAGGGAAAGAGAGATAGTTACGCGGCGGGAGAGAGAGAGAGCAACGCGATGGGAGAGAGAGCAGCGTAGCGAGATGGGGGAGAGACAGAGTAACTATTTGCGGGAGAGAGAGAGAGAGAGAGTAGCGCGATGGGAGAGAGAGAAGGAGTAGCGCGGCGGGCTAGAGAGAGAGTAGCGCGATGGGAGAGAGAGAGAGCAGCGCGATGGGAGTGAGACAGAGTAGCGCGATGGGAGTGAGACAGAGTAGCGCGATGGGAGAGAGAGAGTAAGTAGCGCGATGTGAGAGAGAGAGAGAGTAGCGAGGCAGGAGAGAGAGAGAGAGAGTAGCGAGAAGGGAGAAAGAGAGTAGCGAGGCAGGAGAGAGAGAGAGAGTAGCGAGAAGGGAGAAAGAGAGTAGCGAGGCAGGAGAGAGAGAGGGAGTAGTGCGGCGGGAGATAAAGAAAGTAGTGCGATGAGAGAGAGAGCAGCGTGGTGAGATGGTAGGGAGACAGAGAATATCGCGGCGGGAGAGAGAGAAAGTAGCGCGATGGGAGAGAGAGCAGCGCAACGAGAGAGCATCGCCTCTTCCTCTCTCTCTCTCCGCGCCTCTTCCTCTCTCTCTCCGCACCTCTTCCTCTCTCTATCCGCGCCTCTTCCTCTCTCTCTCCGAGCATCTTCCTCTCTATCTCCGCCCCTTTCCTTCGATTTCGCCAGGGCTTTCCATCTCGCGCTCCCGCTCTGAACTCTTCTTCCTCACCGTCATTCTCCTGCTCTCCGCACCTATCGCCGCGAGTCTCTCTCTGTGTCGTGGTTTTGGTATTTTGCACTCAGTATTTCACTCGCAACGTTTTACTTTGCTGGTACTTTGAAGTGACACTTGAGGGGGAAATGCATGCCTCAGGCTCTCAAAATCAAGGTCTTCAGCTTGTCTTTCGCAGGGTAGCGGGACGGCTTGTGATTTGCGACAATCATGCAAAATGTTCACTCCTTATTTGTCGCCAACTATCGCACAAACACAAACTGGCCCCCTAACAAAAAACTGTCTCGCAAGTTTCCAACCAGCACACTCTTGAGCCGAACTATTTCGAGTTGGGTCCAGAATGAAAAGGGGGTCACTATTCTAGCCTCTCGCTTTAAAATTTCGATTATAAGACCCACTAGAAAAAAAGCTATTTGCCCTAAACGCCCCTAGGGTCCTATATTCGGGGGATTACGTTATTAAGCATTAAGGGTTAAAAGTGGCTTATCCTATATACAATGAAAAGAATGGGTCTATACAATGAGAAACCGTCATAAAAGAACTGCGAAAATAAGCCCCACTAGGGCTTTAATTTTCAGGGTCTTAAATCCGGGCAAATACAGTACGTCACAAGGATCAGGGCTCTCGCTATGCATTTTCCACTTTCTAGGCGATCAGACGGGACCTTCGCGCTCGTCTGATCATCAGACGCCCGTTCTTTCAGTTTCTGAATAATAAGAGGTTTTAGAGTAGAGTTTCTAGGAAATCAGAAGTTTCAGCCTTGTATTTCAGTATTTCACCTAATCATTAGGCCAAAACGATCCTACCTACTCAGAATCACAATCTACATCTATAGTGTCGCGCACGTCTACGGCCTCATCATCGTTCTTCATACGCTTCTTCTTCTTCTTGTTGACCGCCTTGTCTTTCTTCCTCTTCTGGCTAAGAGATGGCTCAAGGGGGGCATCACGACATTTGTTGCCTGCCGCCGCTGCACTGGAGCACGAAAGTGGGCCATGACATCTTCCCACACCATCGGGTACTCTAGCAACTAAATGCACATCAGGTCGGCCAGTCGAGCATCACACAAATTAACACGCAACCAAGACTTAATAATGTTCTGGTGGCTGAAGCCGCGCTCGCACTCTACTGTGCTGAGAGGCAGAACAGCAGCAGCCACCCACAAGCGGACGAGGTTGGGGTAGGAGGTGCGCCAGTCTTCGGATCTGAGAATATTCTTCAAGCAGTTGTGGAATGACCGTGGAGCATGCGTGTGAATCGAGGCAGCTCCCTTTTCGCCTTGCCCCAATCAACTCCTGAACAAGTGAGGGTAAATAACCACAAGTCACATCCTGACAAGGTGGGAGAGGGGGTGAGGGCTTCCAAGTGCATGGTTAATGTAAGGTTAATTGGAGAAATTCTCACCTGGCAAGGCACACTGTTCGGCGTTGAAGAGGACCTTTAGTGAACCGAACCACTCGGTGCACAGACGATCGCGCTTTGCGACGGAGTCGGGGTAGGCGTCGGGGAAGAACAGTTTCGAACGGTGCTCGCCTCCTGTCGGTGCTCTCATCCAGCTGGATGCCCACGAACGGCGACTGTTGAATGTGCTTCATTTGCTGTGCTCGTAGGTAAACGACGAGTGCTTATGTGATTTGCTTGAAGCCGTACCTGCAGCAGTAAAAAAACAATGGTTAGAGATTCGTTAACATTAGAGTTAACCAAAACTATAGCAGATCCCAACTTACTCTGATTGGAAAGACCCGGGGGATTTCTCGGGGATGTGGGGAGTGCAGAGATCATAGAGAAGACGGGCCAGAGAACCAAACATGGCAATAGAAACATCAGACTTGCAAATCCAAAGCACAACCAGCATCAATTGCCTGAGCCGCGCGTTGGCTCCCTGATTGTCGTTGAAGTCGACAATGCTCGGCTGCGCAGTGTTTAGCCCATCCAGCTGTTTCTGCCGATCCTCCGCAGCCTTGTGCTTCTTGCTTTGGGAGTGCTTCACCATCGTCTGCTTCTGAATGTCGACACCTCCATTGCCGTACTTGCCGTACTGCCACTTCGGAGGAGCGTGCGCCATGCACAATCGATACTTCATGCAAAGACGTTCGTCGGGCCGTTGGTCGATGAGCAGCCAGGGGAATTTTCGCACCCACTGCTCTTCGGCCTTCGCCTTCAGTTCAGCAAGAATTGCATCGGGGTTGGGGATGAGACGAGAGTGGCTTCCCATGCTCGGCGTCGGATCAGAAGCCGAAACAGACGTTCCCGCCTCTTGGGTCGCAGATGGCGTTGCATCAGCAGCAGGTCGGGAAGTCTCTAGCCTGATGCGAGGAACACGGGTACGCGCGAATCGAATGGTGCTTCGCATGTACCTTCCAGCGGGCAGTCTAGAAGGCAGCGCTGGAATTGCGGCTACTGAGAGTGGAGGCGAGAGGATCCCCGCGGCAGCAGTGGGAGAGCGAGGAGAGGTAGGCGGAGTGGATGCGAGCAAAAGCTCAGCATCAATCTCCGGGAGTAAGTCTGAGAAAGGCAGAGGCTCGGCTGGGGAAATAACAGCTGGCGCGGGCACGAAATCTGGGGTCTCTCGCCTAGGCGGAGGCTGGCGTAGAAAATCCAGCCCCCTCATTAGGGGTGCTGTAGCGGGAACGGGCTGAGCTATGGCGGCAGCGCCGTCATCAGTGGTGGTGCTGCCAGCCATCTAAAACTGATTGGCGCGGCAAACGAGTGAGATACGCTACGGAGCAGGTCTAACATGGGTGCGGTAACGATAGTGAAACGAGGGCATAGTGGTGGACAGGGGAGCTTGTCGAAGAGAAGGATGAAGAAGAAAGGGAGTTCCCCACCTCTCTTTCAGCATGCATCGAACCGCAGCCCATTTCAGTGGTATAGAGTAGAATGATCCCCCAAAGACGAAGGTTCGTGGGGAGGCCAGCTGGGAATGCATGTTGCGACAAGCCAATGGGAGAGTATGCTGCAATGGCTAATAGGACAAGCCAATTGGAGAGGCCCCGCTGCCTTACCTAGCAGGACAAGCCAATGGGAGGGGCTCTGCCCTGTCTAACAGGACAAGCCAATGGGGGGGAGAGATGCTGCCAATGCATGGATGCACTATCCTTGGAAAGCTGAATGGAGGGCAACTGTGGAGAGTCATTGTGTGTTGGAAGGGGATGGGCCAATCAGACTACACGGCTGACTCAATCGCCTACTGCGGCGCCACACCGTGAGCAACATATGAGTCAGCAGTTGTCTCACCGACGTTGTGCTGGCGCCGAAACTGTAAGTAATGATGCCCCACTGGGCGTGCCGACGCGCGGTTTGCTGTACACGCGGGGATTTCGGGGGGGCTGGATGCAGCCTCACAGTAATCGGTTTCAGAGGAACGTATTCGCTAAGTCTGTAAAATCAGAACAAGAACACACATTCTGAAATTTCAGGACTAAAATTCAGTTTCTAGGGCATCAGAAATTCTAGAAATAGGTTTCTAAAAAATCAGAGGAACGCCTAAAAAAGAGTCTGAAAATCAGACAAACAGACGGATTTTGTCTGATGTCGAGAGCCCTGACAAGGATCACTACAATGGGTTTCCGTCTATCGAGCCTAAGAGCTTTTCAAATGCATTAGCTTAGAGTAGTGGCTTGACATCAAAGCGATAAGTTCCCATATAACTGGTGACTACAACCCCCCTTCCACACCACTTCCTCCCCCAACAACCCCTCTACCAAAGTATTCGGCCACAACTCCAAACCCATCCCTGGCATCATGCAACTCCTGGAAGAACCTATCATGGTCTGCCGCACTCTGCCTTAGCCCCTTCCTCATCTCCCTCACAACTCGATACGATGCGGCACACTTGGGACACTCCATGAGACTCTCTCCTCCCTCCCCTCCCTCCCCTCCCTCCCCTCCTCCTTGCTCACCAGCTTCTGCTCCTGCTGCCGACCCATAACCCCCCATAAACCCTCCCACTCCACCACCAGCACCAGCACCACCTCGCATCATCCCATACCCTCCCCCTCCCCCTCCCATCCCTCCTCCCATCACCCCTCCCCCGCTCACCCCACCTGCTGAGCCTGCCAGGGACGCAGCAGCGGCGGCTGTAGCGGCCGCTACAGCCGTGGTTGGGTCGGCAAGGCAGCGCAGGTGAAACGCATGCAGACAAAAGAAGTGGACGGCAGGGAGGTCGAGGGAGCCGTTGCACTCGGCACATCGAGAGGACTGGAAGACGAGAGGAGCGGTGAGAAGCTGGTGGAGCTCCTTCCGGTACTTGTCCGTTTCAACCTGCATGGGATTTGTCGGGACAGAAAAGGGGGAGTGGGGCAATCAGCCATTGCACTCGGCACAGCAGGACGACTGGAAGACGAGAGGGGCGGTGAGGAGCTGGTGTAGCTCCTTCCGGTACTTGTCTGTTTCAGCCTGCATGGGAGTGTTTGGGACAGGGAAGGGGGAGTGGGGTAAGGAACACAGCAGGACTGGAAGATGAGCGGCGCAGTCAAGAGCTGGTGCAGCTCCTACCGGTACTTGTCCGTTTCAGCCTGGATGGGATTTGTCGGGACAGAAAAGGGGGAGTGGGGTACGAAAGACAGCGGGACGACTGGAAGACGAGAGGAGCAGTGAGGAGCTGGGGGAGTACTTGCCCGTTTCAGCCTGTTTGGGATAAGGAAGATGGAGGGAGAGGGTGTGACAAAGTGGGAAGACGAGAGGAGCGGTCAAGAGCTGGTGGAGGTCCTTCCGGTACTTGTCTGTTTGATGCTGTGGGGACAGGGAAGGACAAGAGGGGGTGAGGGGGAGTGGGAAGACGAGAGGAGCGGCGAGGAGGAGCTGACAGGCTCCTTCCTGCACTTGTCGGTTTCATGTTGTGGGGATGGGAGCGGGAGCGGAGGGGGATTGGGGGGGGGGGGTGGTGGCGGAGTCATATAGGGAGCATGAGATGCTACTGAAACTGCAGCATGTATGCACGCAGGCAAGCCTGCTTTCCTGTATATCCCTAAACCACTTCTCACCTGATATTTCTCAACTGCCCGTCTATCCTCCTCCTCAATAGTAGCCGTCTGTTGCTGCAACTCTGCCTGTACATGCCTCTAGATGCATTTCTGCAAGTCTGCACTTGCACATCCATGCTACCCTACCACTTATCCTCCTCACCTGGTATTTCTCCATCGCCCGTCAATCCTCCTCCTCAATAGTAGCCATCTGATGCTGCAAATGTGCCTGTATCTAGATGCATTTCTGCATGCATGCATGCCTGCTTGGCCGCATGCCTACATACAGTACCATCATCCTCACCTGGTATTTCTCAATCGCCTGCCTATCTTCCTCAGTAATCGCCGTTTCTAGCTGCAAGTGCAGCATAGCTTTGAGGCGCCTCAAAACTAGACTCCTACCTAGCTGCAAGTGCAGCATGTTTGCATGCACGCAGCACGCAGCACGCCTGCTTCGCTGTACAGACCCATACCACCGTCCTCACCGGGTATTCCCCGCTTATCCTTCTCAATAGTAGCCGTCTCGTGCTGCAAATGTGCACGTGTACATGTCTCTAGATGCATCTCTGCATGCATGCATGCCTGCTTGGCTGCATAACTACATACCATCATCCTCACCTGGTATTTCACAATCACCTGCTACAACCGTCCGCTGCTGCTACATGCCTGCACACACCCATCATCCTCACCTGGTATTTCTCGATCGCCCTTCTATCCTCCTCGATAGTCGCCGTCTCCTGCTGCAAGTGCCGCGACACAAAGTCCCGCACCTCTCCCACTGTGATTTTAGGGTTGCGGGAGAGAGTCTGTCGTAAGGAGGAAGGGGAAAAAGGAGAAGCGGGAGGGACGAGAGGAGAAGCGAAGTGAGGGCGTAAGGGAAATCACGTAAGGGAAGAGGACGGTATGTGCAAGTGCTGCGACACATTGTCTCGCACCTCCCCCACAGTGATCCGTGGGTTTCAAGAGAGAGTCTGCAGAAAGGAGGGAGGGGGAGAAGGGAAGGGGAGAGAAGACAAGGGGCGGGCGGGTGCACATGTTACATGATGACTTTTGAGTCGACTCAAAATGTTACATGTAAACACGCTGTGGCAGGCTACCAGCTACTCCCCCTATCAACCCGGACCTGAATCTGAAGAAAAAGGCATAGATTTGCTGCAAACCCAACCATACCACCAGAAACACCGCACCTGCAACACCAGCAGCGGTGGCAGCAGGTTGCCCCTCTCCACCGCTCCCAACACCTCCCCGACCTCCTCCCCACACGCCTCCTCCAAATCCCCCAGGTACCTAACCACTTCCGCCCACACCCCCGGGTCCCCCCCCCTCCCCGCATCCCCCAGGCGCTTGCAGGCTGCTATCAGCCCCTTGCGGTCGCCCTCTCTCATGTAGAGGGACAGGGCTTCCTTGAACAGGCGCATTCGCTCGTAGAGGAAGATGAGCCCATCATTAAAGCCATGCACCTGGGAGTATGGGCGGGAGGGAGGGAGGGAGGGAGGGAGGGAGGGAGGGAAGGATCAGCCCCTAGCGGTCGCCCTGCCTCATGTAGATGGATAGAGCTTCTTTGAGCAGGCGCATTCGCTCATACAGGCCCATGCGCCTGGGAGTAGGGGCGGGAGGGAGGGAGGGAGGGAGGGAAGGATCAGCCCCTTGCGGACCCCTTCCCTCATGCAAAGGGACAGGGCTTCTTTGAAAAGCCGCATTCGCTCGTTGAGAAACAGGAGACCGTCCTTGACCCCATGAACCTGGGGGGGGGGGGGGGGGAGGGGGGAGGGAGGGCGGAGGGAGGGGGTGGGTGGTTGAAGAGGAGCAGTTCCCTTGACGCTATGTACTTGGGGGAATGGGGCAAAAGCAAAATACGGGGTGAGGCCCGTGAGGGCTTGTTGAAAATAAGGGGAACAGAGGCAGCCATCCAAGAGTCAAACCAGAGACCAGAGCATCCAGGGATGATACTGTATGCGTGACTCCAGCTATCCGTCCGTAACCCCATCAACAACTGCCAGCAGGTGGACGTCTCCTCGTTTCCACGTCAGCAACACGAGAGCAACACGTCAGCAGCATCCCTTCACTTCACCTGACACGTCAGCAGCGCCAGGTCAGCGTCGTAGCGCGGAGCTGACTGCTGCTGCCAATAGGATCGCAGCAACGCCCCTGCCTTTGCCAGACAAGCTGTCCGGCTACTATCCTCCACTTTCCGAGGAGACACAACCCCTCCCCTCCCACCTCCCCTCCCCCCTCCCTCCCCGCTTGATCCAGCGCCAGCAGCAGCAGCAGAGTGGGTTGTTGGAGATGGGGGAACGAAAGCGGTGCTGATGGCATTTCTGCTGCTGCCACTGCTGCTTCCTGCTTCTCTCTCCTTTTCCTGCCCGAGAAGCATTCTTCGCTCTGCCCAGCGCACAGGGTCTGTCCGGGCAGAATCACCGGAAAAGAACGAGCTTGCCTTGCCATCCGTCAAAGAAGAACTGCCAGAAACGGCAGCACAGGCAGCAGCACCAGAGCCACCAGAACCACCAGCAGCAGCAGAACCAGCAGCAGCAGCTTTCAGAACAGAGTCAAAGCTTGGGAGGTCAAAATCCGGAGAGGAAAGAGAGGCGGATGGGAGGGAGGAGGAGGAAGAAGATGGAAGACAGGCTGAGGTCTCATAACAGAGGTATAACTCGAGGAGGGAGTTGAGGACTTCTTTGTGCCAGGGTGAGTCAATCACCCTCTCCGTGTAAATCTCCAGAAATTTCATCAAGCATCGTGGTTGGTCCACGAACACTGGTGCTAACTCCATGGGAGACAGATATTTCTGCTGCTGCCCGGAGTCTGTGATGCGAATTCTCAGGCTGCTGCTGCCCGGACTGCCCGAACTGCCTGAACTGCCCGGGCTGCCCGCGAGCCTGCCCGAGCCGGAAACAAGTGACTTTCGGAAGCTGGAGGAGCGAGGGGGGATGGCAACAGGAGGAACGGGTGCTGCTGCTGCTGCTGCTGCTGCTGTGCCTGTAGCTGTTGCTGCATCAGCAGCACTAGCAGCAGCACCAGAAGAGGCACGGGGACTGGAGCGCGGAGAGGCAGTTTCCTTATTCTCCCTAAACCGAGACCGCCCCAAACCTGGCCCCCCTGGGCCCTCCCCAGATCCTCCCCCTCCGCTTCCTCCCCCCCCCGCTCCCCCTCCCCCAAGTGGTGCTGCTGCTGCTGAAGTCCCTCCCCCCATTCCCTCCCCCTCTCTGTTGGTGCCGAATCCTGTGCAGAGTTCCAAGAACAAAGAAATCGTTTCTTCGGGCAGGTGTGCCGCCAGCACTGGGCCGTACTCCCGGGCAGCCGAAACAATCTTCGGGCGGTCAGCAAGACCAGATATGAATGCAAGCGCGTCCGGATAGCGCCTTAAGTCCTCAACGAGGATTTTTAAGTAAGCAGAATGCTTAGCGGCCCGCTGGGCAACAAAGAGAGCTTGGTCATAATATCCAGCGGAACGACAGACTTGGATTACGGTATCGGGATCGTAGGGGAGTTGGGGAGAGGAGGATGAGGTGTGAGGGAATGAGAGTGAGAGGGAGAGAGAGGAGGCAAAGGAGGAGGAAAAAGGAGGCATGGTTCCAGCTGCTGCTGCTCCTCCTGTTGTATTTGTGGTTTCGCTAGCGTCTGTAGCGGCAGAATCGAATCCCGCTCGAACGAAAGCGTCCAGCTTAGACACGTCCTGGTGTGCGGTGCAAGTAGGAAAGGCATGGGTGTGGAAAGACGCACAACTTTTGAGTCGACTTAAAGGCGTCCAGCTTAGACACGTCCAGGTGTACGGCGCAAGTAGGAAAGGCATGGGTGTGGAAAGACGCACAACTTTTGAGTCGACTTAAAGGCGTCCAGCTTAGACACGTCCAGGTGTGCGGTGCAAGTAGGAAAGGCATGGGTGTGGAAGGACGCACAACTTTTGAGTCGACTTAAAGGCGTCCAGCTTAGACACGTCCAGGTGTGTGCGAGTATGAGCAGTAAGGGTGTGGAAGGACGCACATGAGTGCATGTTTACAAGAGGGGAAGAAAAAAAAGAAAAAGAAAAGAAAAGAAAAGAACCTAGTTTAGACACATCCTGTAGCATAAGAACCAGTGTTATAGGTGTAGAAGTCGGAGGAAAACGAGAGAGAATATGGGTGCAGAAGGAAGCGGGCAAGAGAAAGGGATATACTGCAAGACATGGAGCGAGATACGACCATGGACCTGAGTCTCTGTAAGACTTACGAGGCCTCAGGTCTAGCCTGTCAATATCGCGCACGTCATACTCCAATGACCATACCCCGTTGCTTTTGTTTCCAGCACCCCCATTGCAAGGGGCAGCACCGCCTCCTTATTGCTCAGCTTGTGCAGCTGTGCTAAAAATGAAAGCGACACGGAATGGTTGTATTTCGAGTCGACTCAAAATACCCTGTTGCTCTGTTTCCAGCACCCCCATGCAAGGGGCAGCACCGCCTTTCATCGCTCAGCCTGAGCAGCCGTGCTAAAAATGAAAGCAATGCGGAGCGCCTGTTGAAGTAAGACGGAGTAAGACGTGTGCGGTCTTGGCGAGTGGATGGTAAGCCTGAGTCCTTGCGCTTATCATAAGTACACAGGTCCACGGTTCCCATTCTGTGAAGAATCAATTTAAGCAGATGTCCGGAAAAATGCATGCCTCATGCATTTGCTTGCACCCTTTCCTTCAACCCATGTAAAAAAAACAACCAAGAATCCACTCACCATGGGGCGTCATAAGCAGGGTGGTGTGGTGCGTTTTAAGAGAGTTACAAACCTTGAGCCGAGAGAAGCAGTTGATCAGCAGGGTGGTGTGATCACGCCACGACACGCGTTTGACTAAGAATCCATTTTCCACTCACCGTGGGGCGTCATAAGCAGTGTGGTGTGGTGCGTTGTAAGAGAGTTACAAACCTTGAGCCGAGAGAAGCAGTTGATAAGCAGGGTGGTGTGGTCCGGCGTCGCAACCCCCTTATCGTGCAACCGCTCCAAGTATCGCGCCAGAAGACCCAACCTTTGCGCGTCCAGGTACCGCTGAATCACGTAAGATGGCTCCAACTGCCCGATGGTGCGCATGTACTGCGCCATGGCCTCCTCATAGTCCTGCGGTGAGGGGGAGAGCAGAGCCTATTTTCGAGGCACCTCAAATCAGACCAGTCGCCTCCAGCCTCCAGGTACCGCTGAATCACGTAAGATGGCTCCAACTGCCAGATGGTGCGTGCGCGTGTACTGCGCCATGGCCTCCTCATAGTCCTGCGGCGAGGGGTAGGGAAGGAAAGTGTGGGGAGGGGGAGAGAGGGACGTGCGTTGAGGGGGAGGGACGTGCCTTGAGGAGCCTCAAGCCAGCAGCCTCTGAGCCTCTGGAGCAACGCCTCCACCTCCACGCCATGCCCCTCTCCACCAGCAGCAACCCCCTCGTAGTCCATAGAACCTCTAGCACCCACACCTCGAAACCTTTAGCGACAACCCCTCATAGTCAATAAAAAGAGTCTCTCGGCTAGCATCCATCCCCAAATATCTCACCTGCTTAGCATATAAGTGGTCGCCATATCGCCTCAGCACTTCAACGGTGGCAGCAGCATCGCCGCCCTGCGACACCACCAGGTCCAGCGCACTCGCATACAAACCCTTCCGGAACAAGGCCTCCAGCTTCCATGCCATATCCCTCTCCACCAGCAGCAACCCCCGTGCCTCCACACGTAATGATCCTCCTCCTGCTGCTGCTGCTGCTCCTCCTCCTCCTCCTCCTCCTGATCCTCCTGCGTCTTCCCCCCCAGCTGCTTTCCGGTGCAGTGTCAGCACCACCACTGCCCCGCCCTCGCACAGCAGCAGAGAGGCGGCGAGGAGCGAGGCAGCGGGGCCAAGAGCGGCACTGTGCACCACCAGCTTGTTGCGTGTATCATATATGGAGAGAACCATCCGCTGCTGCTGCTGCTGCTGCTGCTGATTTGTGCTTGATACTGCTTCACTTCCCTGATCAGACCTCTTGCCTGAATCCAGACGGCCACCACCCCCACCACCACCAGCAGTAGCTACTGAACCAGCAGCAGCACCAGAGGGTGCAGAGGGCGGGGAGTGGAGGCAGAGGAGGTAAGAGCGCAGGCATGCGACGCGGTGCTTGGTGCCCTCCAGCCCAAAGCACGCCCCCGGCCCATCCTCGTTGAACCAGTAGAACGCCTCTGGCCGCGCCAACACCAGATCCTGGCGAGAGGGAGAGGGAGAGAGAGAGAGAGAGAGAGAGAGAGAGAGAGAGAGAGAGAGAGAGAGAGAGAGAGAGAGAGAGAGAGAGGAGAGGGGAGAGGAGGAGTGAGAGATAGAGCGGAGGAGGCATGGTTGAAACAGTAAAAGGCCTCTGGCCGCACCAACACCAGATCCTGGAGAGAGAGGGAGGCGGGGAGAGAGGAGGCACTGGCACCTGCACAGGCCCCAAAGCACGCCCCCCACCGATCTTCGTTGAAACAGTAAGACGCCTCTGGCCGCGCCAACACCAGATCCTGGCGATAGGGAAAGAGAACGGGACCGCTTGAGTTAGAGGAAACATCTCAGAAGAAGCATTATTGGCTTGAAAATAAAAGATCAGAAACGGAACAATCTACCTCCAGTCCAGAGGAAGGGATTCAAAAGCTATACGAACAAGCTGTATGCGAGATGACTTTTGAGTCGACTCAAAAGTCAAGGGCGGATTCAAAAGCTCTAAGAACAAGCGGTCTGTGCGCTTGTTTCCCCAGGCTCGCCTGAGTATCCGACATAGTGCAGCATAGCACATCCCCTCCTCTCTCCTCCAGCACTACTCTCTCTCCTTTCCCTCCTCCCTTTTCCACCCTCCCCCCCTCTCCCGTTCCCCCAAACACGCCACTGGGCAGCGTGAACAGTGACACACTCTCCCCTGTGACTATAAAGAGCTATGGGCCCGAATCCAGCGTCCAAAAGCCTCCTACTGAAGTGTGACCAGTAAGGTCCCCCGAAAGAGGTATTCAAGTTGAATATCAACGGCAAGTCTCACCTGAGTATCTGACATGGTGCAACACAGCACGTCTCCTCCTCTCTCCTCCAACACCACTCTTTCCCCTCCTCCCCTCCCCCCCCTTCCCCCCCTCCTGCCGCCCCAAACGCGCCACTGGGCAGCGTGAACAGTGACACGCTCTCCCCTGTGACTATAAAGAGCTGTGGGCCCGAATCCAGGATCCGAAAACCCAACCCTGTGACTGCAACGGGGGGGAGAGCGGCAGCAGCTGCAGCAGCTGCTGCTGCAGAAGTGGAAGCAGATGGGGCGGAGTGCAAGGAAGACGAGGCCTGGTCACTCCTCCCTCCCGCTCCTACTCCTGCTGCGACTCCTGCTGCTACACCTCCTCTCCCATCTCCATTACCTTGGCCATCTACAACCCCTCCTCCTCCTCCTCCCCCTCGGCCTCCACCTTCCCCTATACCCTCTCTCCCTCCTACGCCCCCCACGCCACCTCCCCCCCCCCCTTGCCCCTGGTTGCTGTGAGGGGGAATGCGGAACCGTTTGATCCTCAGGGACGAGTCGGCTAGAAGCACATCCACGGCTCCTGTGGCTAATCCAACGGCCAGGATGTAACTCAGCTGCGGGGCCTCGTGGATTGTACAGGCTGTGATCTGCACGTATGGGGAAGGGGGGCGGACAGGGGGTGTAGAAAAGGGGAAAGGGGGAAAAGGGGAAAAGGGGAAAGGGGGAAAGGGGGAAAGGGGAAAGGGGGAAAAGGGGAAAAGGGGGAAAAGGGGGAAGGGGGAAGGGGGAAGGGAAAAGGGGGAAAAGGGGAAAGGGGGAAAGGGGGAAAGGGGAAAACGGGAAAGGGGGAAAAGGGGAAAAGGGGGAAAGGGGGAAAGGGGAAAAGGGGAAAAGGGGAAAAGAGGAAAAGGGGAAAAGGGGAAAAGGGGGAAAGGGGGAAAGGGGAAAAGGGGAAAAGGGGAAAAGGGGGAAAAGGGGAAAGGGGAAAAGGGGGAAAGGGGGAAAGGGGAAAAGGGGGCCTGAGGAATGCGGAACCATTTGATCCTCAGTGACGAGTCGGCTAGAAGTACATCCAATCCACGGCTCCTGTGGCTAATCCAACGGCCAGGATGTAACTCAGCTGAGGGGCTTCAGGTTGGGGCTTCATCTTTGTGAATTGTAGAGGTTGTGAACTGAAGGGGGGGGATGGGAGATGGTTGGTTGGGGTGAGAGAGTGTCATGAGAAGAGTCCCACTCGTGCAACACAATCAGCCCTCACCTCACCACAATCACCCCCCAACGCAGTCACACCTCAATGCAATGACCCTCAATACCATCACCCCTGAATGTGCTCACCTCTGCAGCTGGAAACGCGTCTGAGAAGGCATGATACGTGATACGTGCGAGAGAATGCACACACAGGCGCACCTCCCTCTGCTGCTGCTGCTGCTGCTGCTGCTGCGCCTGAATCGTAATTCAAGCATAGTTACCCTTCAAATAATCACCCCTCCCTCGACATGCTCACCTCTGCAGCTGGAAATGCATCTGAGAAGATATGATACGTGCGTGCACACACAGGTGTTCCTCCCTCTGCTCCTGCTGCTGCACCTGAAGCAACACCTGAAGCAGCAGCATCAGGAGCCAAAGGAGCGGCAGTCTTGTCCAGATCCCACAGCCGCACTGCAGCTCCCTTTTCTTCCTTGCCCACGGTCAGAAGGGAGTTGCGTTGCTGCACAAGGGGGAGAGGGGGGAGGGGGTTGGAAGAGAGAGGGGGGGAGGGGGTGGGTGAGTGAGGACCAAGCTTCTCAACAGGAGGAGCAGCAGACTTGTCTAGACCCAACAGCCGCACTGCAGCTCCCGTTTCTTCCTAACCCATGGTTCAGAGAGCGAGAGAGAGTTGCGCTGCTGCAGAACGGGGGAGGGGGAAAGGGGGAAGGTGGGGTAGGGGATGGTTGAGGACCAAGCTTCTCAACAGAAGCAGCAGCTGCATTGTCCAGATCTCACAGGGGAGGGAGGGGGACGGAGGAGATAGGCACGTATTAGGAAGAATAAAGAGCTAAAGAAAATTATCGTCAGAAACGTGCATGCAAATGTTGGGAATCTTACCTGATGTGGATGATGCCAGGATGCAAAAATGTCAGAAATGTTACCTGATAATGCAAATGTCAGGAATGTTGCCTGATGTGATGCGAACGTCAGGAATGTTACATGTCAATGTCAGGAATGCTACCTGATAATGTGAAAGTTAGGAATGTTACCCGATGTGAACGTCAGGAGTGTTACCTGATGATGTGAATGTCAGGAATGTTAACTGATGTGAATGTCAGGAATGCTGTCTGTTGTGAATTTCAGTTCAAGAGAGTCACCTGATGTGAACGTCAGCAATGCTCGAGGAGTGTTACCTGAGTGTTACCACAGGAACACAGTGACTCTTGACCAGTCATGGATGAATAGCAGCTGAGTAAAGTCGAATATCTGTAGTAACGCTAAAGGCGTCTTGAATTATCGTGGTGTCGACTAAAGACGTCTTTTAAAGCAACAACAACGTTCAAAGATCATGAATGCCCTGTGGCATTCAAAGAGACGTGTCGTCTCTTGTCGTCTCTTCAAAGAGGTCAAACACGTGCCGTCTCTTGTCGTCTCTTCAAACAGAGGCCCCAGATTCACCAGATTCACCTTGAACAGGTGTAGGAACGCCACGGGGCCTTCATGAGCTACGAAGCTTCGCCGAACCCGCAGCGACCGATCCAGTAGCAACACCGAGCCGCTCTCCGTCCCAACAGCTAGTCGTCCGCGGCCTCCCGCGCCGCACCGCACGCCCTGCGCGAGCGCGTCGGCTAGCGGCCCGGCGGGAGAGCGATCCTCGAAGAACTGAAAGCGACGCCACTGATTCATGGCGCTTCGTTTGGCATTAAGACTTTTTCCGCCAATATTCCTACTTCACCAGTATCTCTGCTTCGACTAGAAACTCCTGGCAATCAGCGACAGGCTCATACCGTCAACCAATCAGCGTCTCTCCTATTCCGACCGCTGGAAAACGACAGAGCAGCAGAGAAAGGTGGAGCAGTGAAGCACCGCGAATACCGTGTACTTCTAAACGAGGCAGCTTACAAGCCGCCCTCGATCTCATCGAGACTAAAATCTCTCAAATATCTGTACGGACCTAGCCTGGTGCCACCGTCATTTCCTGGGCTGACGGCTCCATAATTAGTTGTCACTGGTACATCAGTTGTCAGTAATGATAAGGCTGATAGAATGTGGTTGTAAAGGGTACGTCCCGAACTCGATATGGTGGGCGGAGCGTAGAGTGAATTGAAATAAGAAATCCCTTTTGGGGACTTACGTTTCTTCATCTACTAGGAATTACATTAGATGAACCTAAAAGAACTTGTTAGCCATGCTGCTGTGAAAAATGAGCATAATCACGAAGAAACCTATCAGGCGGCACATCTACCCCATAAAGCGGCCCAACTCCACTGGAAAGTGGCCGATCCTGCACAGGATCAATATGGTATGCCTCCTGGTGGTAACTCGTCGCAAGTGACGCACCATCGGCAAAAGGGTCCGTAGGCAAATGGTCACCACCAGAATTACCCTGGGCAGTGCGCCCCGTGTGCCCTAGAGGATCCACTTTCACTCCCATGTGATTGGCTGTCATTCCTCCACTGCTGTGGGCCCCATTACTGTGTATAGGACGGTGGTCATAGAGTGAAAGCGAGTCGACTTGTCCTTGGTAATTCGACAAATACCCATGGCTCCGGGGGTTGTGAGAATAGTGCTGGTAGCTTTGGTGGTCCTGATTGTGGTGATGGTGATCATATGGCTGGGAGGCATTACTCGATAAAGTCACGTGGCTGCCCTGCCCTCCATTCGTTAGAGTCACATGACTACTGGAGCCTCCAGCAGCCATAGCCACATGATTGACAGGAGGAAAGGCAGCACGACCATCATTCACACCTGCAGGAGCAGGAGCAGGAGGAGGAGGAGCAGCAGAAGCAGCACCAGCACCAGCATCAGCACCAGCACCAGAACCAGCACCGGCAGGAGAGGAAGAAACAGCGGAAGCAGCGGGGACCACAGGAGCTGCACTCATGTAACCTGGTAACACCTGCTGTGACAAGGAGAGACTAAGCTGTGCCCCAGACCTCAGCTGATGTGCCAGGTTCACCGAACCTGGTCGAACATCCGCTGCTTCCAGGTCAGATGCCGCCGAGGCTGGCCGCCGAGGCAAAAGCCGCTGACCAATCACATTCCCGCCAGTAAACACCCCCCTTCCTGGGGAGAACCCTCTGGCTAAGGGCGATGCTGACGTAGCAGGAGACGATCCTAGCCCTTGCTTGAAAACCACTTCGACGTGGGAGTCTAGATGCAGCAGTTGAATGAATGTCTGGAGAAGAGTGGCCACTTCCCATGCATCCTCGGTGGTAACCGGGCCTGCTGTGCTGCCAACAGTTGCAATTCCTGCTGCTGCTGCTGCTGCTGCTGACGCTGCTGCTGCTGCAGGGGAAGCGGCCGGGGAAAGAGCAGGCGAAGGCGATGCAGACGAACCAGCAGCAGCAGGGCCACTTATTGAAGGGAATCCAAAGCCGGCAGCGCCGGGAAAAGCAGCAGCAGCAGAAGGAGCAGCTGCAGCCGTGTGGCCCTGGGTGAGCGTGTGGGTGCTGGTGCCAGTGCTGGTGCTAAGCAGGCTGATTCCTGTGAGGCTGCTGCTGCTGCTGCCGCCACTGCTGTTACCCGTGCTGCCTCTGCTTCTGCCACCGGCACTGCTGCTATGAGGATGCATCTGGTCGTCAGGCAATGCTGGCCAAGTGTGCCTGTAATGGTTGCTGTGGCTCTCTTGCTGCCCTGCAACTGATTGGCCCTGCAAACCCAGCAAACCCTGTTGACCCTGTTGTTCCTGGTGGTGACCCTGTTGACCTGGTTGACCTGGCTGGCCTGGCTGACCTGGTTGACCTTGAAAAGGGATCTCTGAGTGAACAGATTGACCTGGTTGACCTGGTTGACCTAGAGGAGTTGGAGCACCTGATTGGCTCGGCTGACCAACTTGACCTAGTTGAACCAGAAGGCTCGGTTGACCTGGTTGACCCTGCTGACTGGGCGCTGTTGAAGCGCCTGGTTGACTCCATTGGCTCGGATGACTGGTCTGAGAGGGTCGTGTTGGTTGACCAGGCAGCATTGACATGTCCGATTGACTCCATTGACTCAGCTGACCCTGCTGAGAGAGTGATGCTGAAACGCCTGGTTGACTCAGTTGACTCCATTGACTGGGAGGGCTGGGAGAGAGCCGGGCCATCCAGGGTTGGCTGGCGAGATGGGACGGCAGGTCAAAAAAGGACGGCTGAGGGGGGGAGTAGAGAGACGGAGGGAGGTGAGGGAGTGCCTGGGAGAGCTGGGAGTGCCTGTCAGAGTCATTGCTCGGGCTGCCGTGCCTGTTGCTCAAGCTCCCATGCCTGTTGCCGCTGCCACTGCCATTGCCACTGCCGCTGCCACTACCGCAGCCACCACTACTGCTGCGAGGAATATTCACCACCCCACTGGAAGAAACATCGTCTCGTCCAAAACTTGCTGCTGCATTGCCAGTCATGACTCCACCACCCAATCCGTGCCTGTTGCCTGCACTCACGCTAGCTAAGTTCTCCTGCCCTCCAGCCTGCCCCCCAGAAGCTAGCCAGGAAGGCCCTTGATATTGTGCAGCGTGTGCACTCTCTGCGCCACTGCCACCCTGTGTCTGTGTGCTAAGGAAATGCTGCTGCTGCTGCTGCTGCTGGAGTTGGTGGTGGTGGTGCTGCTGCTGCTGGAGTTGGTGCTGCTGGTGCTGGTGTTGGTGTTGGTGTTGGTGGTGGGGGTGGTGTTGCTGGTGGTGGTGGTGGTGATGTTGTTGAGGGTCTAATTGCTGCTGCTTCTGCTGCTGCTGCTGCTGCTGCTGGTGATGATGATGACTTGGGAGGCCCCAATGAGGCGGAGCATGTGCTGGCAACGCCAACACCGCAGTAGCTCTCGCCTGGACCTCGGCACCTGCAGCTGCGGCAACAGGTGGCACTGGAGATGGTGGTGCCAGCACTGGTATTGCTCTGGTTTCTTCTTGTCCTGATGCTGCTGCTGTCTCTTTGGATGTGTTGGCTGTTGTTGCAGCAGCTGCTGCTGCTGCTGCGGTTGCTGTTGCTGCTGCCGTTGCGCCAGTCTCTGATGTTGCTGCAGCCTGTGGTATGGTCTCCCCAGTTGCTTTCTCTTCCCTAGTCCTGTGCCCTGCCGTGCCAAGCTGCTTCTTTGATGCAGCGTGCATATCACCATCAGCACCAGCAGCACCAACATCACCAGCAGCACCAGCGCAACTAGCAGCACCAGCAGCACCAGCAGCACCAACATCATCAGCAGCACCAGCGCCACTAGCATCACCAGCAGCACCAGCAGCACCAACATCACCAGCAGCACCAGCGCCACTTGCATCACCAGCAACACCAGTAGCACCAGTAGCACCAGTAGCACCAGCACCAGTAGCATCAGCAGTTTCGGCAGCACGAGCAACGGCAGCATCAGAGCCAGAGCTCAATGCCTGCGCATCACATCCCGATTTGAGATAATAACTCTGCTCCTGCTCCTCCTGCTGCTTCTCCTGCCGCCCCTCCTGCTGCTCTTCGCCCTCCTGCAGCATTCTCCCGTGCTGCACCGTTTCCTGCTGCTGGTGTCCCGCGGAATGCTTCTGCTTCTTCTTCTTCTTTGGGGTTCTCACTGGCGACACGAGCGGCCGAGCTTGCTGCGTAACCATCCCACTCACTTCCACCAAAGCCCTGGCAGACACAGGGGTCTCGACAGACACAGGCGGAGCCGTCTTTGAAGGCAAGGTGGCAGACACAGGGGTCTCTACAGACAGATTACTGGACGCAGAATCTCTGACTGGCACATGCATCAGTGCGCCTTCTGCTGCAGCTTCTGGTGTGCCTTCTGGTAGTTCCTGTCGGGGGACGCTCAGCATGTTTGCATTGCTTTCGCTCTGTTCACAAGTACTAGCGCCCCTAGACTCAGCCACTCTGGTAGCATCACAGCTTGATACAGCCACACCCGCTGCAGGTGCTGCTGCCTGTGCTGCTGACTTGTGGCGTGGTGTCAACTTCCCTGCCTTCTCGTGCCGCCCGTGCCTTCTCTCCTTCACCTCCCCTGCTCCCTCTCTAGCTTTCGCCTCCTCTGCTCCCTCTTTTACCACCTTCCCCGCACGTGGAGTCTTGACTTTCTTCATAATCTTACCTCGGCTTTCCACTTCCCCCAACGCAGTAACTGCTTCGTCACTTCCTGCTCCACCTCCTAGGCTCGTTTCCCCTCCCACTCGTGCTGCTCCTCCTACTTCTACTGTGCTGCTTCCACACATTTCTGCTGCTGCTTCTGCTGCTGCTGCTGCTTCTCCTGCTGCAGCTTCTCCTGCTCCTGCTGCTGCAGCTGCTGCGGCGGTGGATTTCTCTTCTCTCCATGCTCCCAGGCCCTCTTGGCTCACCTTCCTTCCTCTGTGATCCAGCCAAGCACCATCATCTCCTCTTTTCCCAGCCTCGAGCAAGGTCCCATCAGCATCCCTCCCTAAACCATCAACTCTCCTAAACCCACCACCATCACCATCCGTCCGCCCACCATCACCCACCAGTTCCCCACCCTCTTTCCCCTCTCCCTCCTCCCCCACGTCCGTGCCCCTCCCGCTATCCCATTGATCGGCACCCTCCTCTGTGCCCTCTGCTGCACCACTGCCTTTGCCTGGTTCTGGGGGTCGAGGGGACTTTGGGAGAGGGGCATACGGGGAAGCACGAGGGAATGGAAGCCAGAGACATAGATTTCATTTTTGAGGCGCCTCAAAAATAGATTTCAGACGCCTCAGCTCAGACCTTCATGTGAGTCTTGGCTCGGCACTCTCCTCTCTGCCCCAACTGCTGCACCATCGCCTTTGCTTGAGTCAAGGAGACGAGGGGGCCGAGGAAAAAGGGTTGGGTTCGGAGGATTGGCCAGAGAGTATGCCAGGGAGGAGTAGCCATATGTGTGGGTGGGGGAGATGAAAGAACGGCGCCTCAGAAATTCCTTTCTCTTTCTACACACCGAGTTGAGCACGTCATTTCTAGGCGTCTAGAAAGAAAAAAGATTTCTGAGGCGTCTCAGAGATGAATGAACGGAAAGCCGCACCATGATCACACGTGCATAAATCCATCTCGGAGCATGGTGCTTTGGAGAACGCACGCACGCACGCGCTCACGCACACGCACACGCACACGCACACGCGCGCACGCACGCATGCACGCACGCATGCACGCGCGCGAGCGCGCACACACACACACACACACTCTCACACACACTCACACACACAAAAACCTTCCTACTCATCACCCATGGATGCACTAACCATCCTGTGAACGCACTCTCATCCCATCACGCACCTTCGCCTTCTCTGCTCTCTTTCGACTCTTCTTCTTCTTCCCCGATTTGCCTTTGTCTGGAGACTCTGCATGCAGACAGGCCGGCATGGCAGTGGGAAAGAAGCGCGGTCGTTTGCTAGGTGAACCAGGTATTGAACCGCCATTTGACCGCCTTTGAAACGCTGTTAAAAAACGTTGAAACAGGCGGCCTCTCTGAGTTCCTTCCCTACAGGAAGATAGAAAAGGACATGTCACATGCTGGACCGTGTTGACCATGGCTGGACTGCACTGACCATGCATGCACTATGATCCATCCATCTCTCGTGCACCTTGCATTGCATGGGCCCATCAGTGCTGGCAGGACGCTCATCTGCTAATCGCCCATCCCCCTGTGACATGCCATGTGCTAGACCATGCACTATTGCCCATCCCCCTGTGACATGCCATGTGGCAGACCATGCCCTATTGCCCATCCCCCTGTGACATGCCATGTGGCAGACCATGCCCTATTGCCCATCCCCCTGTGACATGCCATGTGGCAGACCATGCCCTATTGCCCATCCCCCTGTGACATGCCATGTGGCAGACCATGCCCTATTGCCCATCCCCCTGTGACATGCCATGTGGCAGACCATGCCCTATTGCCCATCCCCCTGTGACATGCCATGTGGCAGACCATGCCCTATTGCCCATCCCCCTGTGACATGCCATGTGGCAGACCATGCCCTATTGCCCATCCCGTGCTCACCTTGTGTTGGCCCATCAATAAACGACAGGAGGTCATCCACCGATCTCTCGTCCACTAGCCGCTCCTTGTGGTGCTTCTGCTTTGCCTCCCGCACCCCTCCACTCTCCCTGCCCTTCGTCTCCTTCTCCCCGCCATGAGTCGTTTCTCCCCCCCCCTGCTTGTCCTCGTCAGGGTTATTATTTGAGTGCGTGTGCTCCTGAGCGAGGGCAAATACAAACAGGGAGATGTGCCATGTTATGAGACGCCTCAAACCATCGAGAAATCTCCTTGTGTGGTACAGCTAATAAGGTCCTTTCTTACACATACACACCTCACATCCTCGCTCTGTTTCCCCAACTCGTCATCGCCCCTATAAGCCGCGCACCTTCCTCCTCATGAGCTCTTCTTCAGAAATCTCAAAATCACCCGGCAATTCTCAAAATCACCTTGCAATTCTCAAAATCACCTCGCAATTCTCAAAATCACCCGGCAATTCTCAAAATCATCCGGCAATTCTCAAATCACCTGGCAATTCTCAAAATCACCCGGCAATTTTCAAAAACACCCGGCAATTCTCAAAATCACCTGGCGATTCTCAACATCTCCTGGAAATTCTCAAAATCACCCGGCAATTCTAAAAAATACCCGGCAATTCTCAAAACCACCCGGCAATTCTCAAAATCACCCGACAATTCTAATCAACCGGCAATTCTCAAAATCACCTCGCAATTCTCAAAATCACCCGGCAAATCACCCGGCAATTCTCAAAATCACCTGGCAGTTCTCAAAATCACCCGGCAATTCTCAAAATCACCCGGAAATTCTCAAAATCACCTAGCAATTCTCAAAATCACCCGGCCATTCTCAAAATCACCCGGAAATTCTCGAAATTCCCAGGCAATTCTCCAAATCACCTGGCAGTTCTCAAAATCACCGGGCAATTCTCAGAATCGCCTGGCAATTCTCAGAATCACCCGGCAATTCTCAAAATCACCCAGCAAATCTCAAAATCACCCGGCAATTCTCAAAATCACCTGGAAATTCTCAAAATCAACCGGCAATTCTCGAAACTCCTCGGCAATTCTCAAAATCCCCCGGCAATTCTCAAATCACCTGGCAATTCTCAAAATCACCCAGCAATTCTCAAAATTCCCCGGCAATTCTCAAAATCACCCGGCAAATCTCAAATCTCCTGGCAATTCTCAAAATCACCTGGAAATTCTCAAAAACACCCGGCAATTATAAAAAAACACTTGACAATTCTCAAAATCACCCACCAATTCTCAAAATCACCTGATCATCCGGCAATTCTCAAACTCACCCGACAATTCTCAAAATCACCTGGCAATTCTCAAAATCGCCCGGCAATTCTCAAAATCACCTGGCAATGCTCAAAATCATCCGGAAATTCTTAAAATCACCCGGCAATTTTCAGAATCACCTGGCAATTCTCAAAATCACCCGGCAATCCTCAAAATCACCCGGCAATTCTCAAAATCAACCGGCAATTCTCAAAATCACCCGGCAATTCTCGACATTACCCGGCAATTCTCAAAATCGCCCGGCAGTTCTTAAAATCATCCGGCAATTCTCAAAATCACCTGGCAATTCTCAAAATCACCCGGCAATTCTCAAAATCACCCAGCAATTCTCAAAATCACCTGGTAATGCTCAAAGTCACGTGGCAATTCTCAAAAACTTCCGGCAATTCACTGGGCAATTCTCAAAAACACCCGGCAATTCTCAAAAACACCCGGCAAACCAAATCATTCTCAAAAACACCCGGCAAACCAAATCGTTCTTAAAAACACCCAGCAAACCGCGCACCTTCCTCCTCATGAGGTCCTTCCTCTTCTTGGCATACAGCCGGTTCAGCAGCCGAATGCGCGGGTCGTCCGTCCCACTCCTTACTGGCTCCAGCTTTTCCTCCTGTGGTTTTAACGGGAAGAGGGAGAGAGGGAGGGAGGGAGGGATGGAGGGAGGGAGGGAGGAAGGGGGGGGAGGGGGGAAGAGCGGATACAGATGGTTCAGCAGTTGAAAGTGCGGGTTGTCTGTGCCACTCCTTACCAGCTCGGCTCCTGCTTCTCCTCCTGTGATTATAAAGGGGAAGGGGGGGGGGGGGGGGGGGGGTTAGTACCACTCCTTAATGGCTCCAGCTTCTCCTCCTGCGATCATGCAGAGGGACAGCTTCACAGTTGCATCAGGGGAAAACAAGTCCGACGAGTTGGCGAGTTGGCTCAGGTAAGCACAGGTCCGACGAGTTGGCTCAGCAAGCTGGCTCGGCAAGCTGGCTCAGCAAGCGGCAATGTGAACCTCCAATAAGTTGGGCCAGCAAGCGGCAATGTGAACCTCCAATAAGCTGGGCGACTTCCCCTCTATCAGCCGGGCCAGCACTCTGCTAGTGAGGTGAGGTGAGGTGTGGTGCGGTGCAGTACGGCAGTCAGGGCACTACATGAACCCACACACACACACATTTCCCTACTCCCTTCCGACCCAATCCCTTTCAGCCTGCCCCTCCACACATCCCACCCCTCTGCCAAGCCAAGTCATCTACCCAGCAGCATGAATCGCCTCCCTCCCTCCCACCCTGCCACTCACCTCCGTCAGATCGTCAGGCAGGTGAAACGTCTCCCTGATCTCCTCGGGCGACTTCCCCTCTATAAGCCTTGCCAGCGCACGACTCGTGAGGTCCACCAGAGGCTTCATTTGAAGCACATCCGCTGCTGACGTCAGCTCGCACAGCCGCCTTGGATCCACGCGCACAAACTTCTCGTCAAACAGCCTCCGCTCCTTTTGGGGTGGGGGGGCGGGGGTGGGTAGGTGGGGGTTTTGTAGAGGAAGAAGGGGAGTGTTGGGGTTTGGAGCTAGCACAGAGGAGGGTTGGGGGCCCACCCGCACAGCCTCCTTGGGTCCAGCGAGCAAACTTCTCGTTAAACAGCCTCCGCTCCTTTTGAGGTGGGTTGGCGGGGTTTTTGCGGGGGAAGAGAGGGAGGGGGGCGGGGAGGAGAGAGGGATGGGAGGGCGGGAGAGTGGGCTTGGAGCTCGCACAGCCTCCTTGGGTCCACGCACACAAACTTCTCGTCAAACAGCCTCCGCTCCTTTGGGAGGGTAAGGGAGGTCGTAGGGTGGGGAGAGGGGAAGGAGAGGGGGGGGGGAGGAGGGGAGGGGAGGGGGGGTGGGGGAAGGGGGGGATGGGGATAGTGGGGTTGGAGCTGGCACAGCCTCCTTGGATCCACCCTGAACAAACTGGTTTTGGAAAATTATCCTAACTGCCCGGCACAACGTGGTAGCAGCAGTATTCCACTGCCAGCTCAGCTTCAGCCCACCTGCAGTAAGCGGAACCGTGACTCGAATCACAAGATAAAATGCAAGAGATGCCCGGATTACCTTATCAGACCGCCCCGGCACGCTGTGGTAGCGGCAGTACTCCACCACTAGCTCCAGCACCCCTGCTGTCACTTGCTTTGGCAGAAGAATAGGAGACGACTCCTGTGACCCGCCACCAGCACCACCAGCACCACCAGCACCACCAGCACCAGCAGCAGCAGCCGCAGCAGCCGCAGAAGCACCACCAGCCGCCTCAGCAGGAGCAGCACCAGTAGCAGCAGCAGCAGCAGTGGTGGCAGCAGGACAAGTAGCATCAGCACCACCAGTAGCAGCGGCAGCAGCGGTGGCAGCAGCAGCAACTGCAGCGCCAGCAGCTATAACCGGGGAATAATCACCCAGCTTCTTACCACCGCCATCATCACCCATGGCGGCCGCGCCCTCCCCCTTCCCTCTCACAGCCTCTGTCAACAGAAGCAACTCTGGAGACCTAGAATTCTCAGTCTTTCCAGGAACCCCTTTATCAGACACCCCTTTATCAGACACCCCTTTATCAGACACCCCTTTATCAGACACCCCTTTATCAGACACCCCTTTATCAGACACCCCTTTTTCGGACTTGAGACGGACCATCTCCCGCCACAGGAAGGGGATGAAAGCCGCTACTCTCCGGTCCATCTGTAGCTTCTCCCCCTCGGCTGTCAGCAGCCACACGCCAGTGGCGCTGTCAAATCCAACAGGAGTCGGGGTTTCAGCTCCCTTGCCTGCTTCGGATCCCTGCCCTGGTTCTGGCCTATCACCCAATTCTGGTCCCTTTTCTAATTCGGACCCCTTCCTGCATCCAGGACCCTCTTGTATTTCGGTACCCTTCCCTGATTCGGGTACTTCCTCCATTTGGGGCGTTCTTGTGTCGTTTTCACTCGAAGGCTCCATGGGTACACAAATAGGATTTGAAATCTTGGCGGAATTGCCTTGGGTGGAACGCTTTTCGCCTGATGAGCCAGGCAATGAGGATACATCCTCGTTATTGGCTGAAGGGATTTGGGTGGAAAGGTTATTGCCTGATGAGCCAGGCAATGAGGATACATCCTCGTTATTGGCTGAAGGGATTTGGGTGGAAAGGTTATTGCCAGATGAGCCAGGCAATGAGCCAGTCCCTACTAGTGGCGGTGCAGCGTCTGTTGATCCTGACTGCGCGCCGGTTGCTGGCGTTACATCGTCACATAATCGCGTTACATTGGAACTTACAGAATTCGCTGCCGGTGTTAGAGCGTCACTAGCAGGTGGAATAGCCTCACTAGCCTCACTGATAGACGCAGTAAAGAGTACGGAACCTGAACCTAACGCATCCCCCTCTTTAGAGTCACAACGAGCTAGGCCAGCACGACTTCCACTCTCGCGAAGTGTTTCGCTGCCAATTTCGTTACTGTCACCCTTCCCGTTACTGGCACATGAATCGCTCGGTTCTCCCGGCCTGCAGGAATCTCGGGATCGTTCCATGACTAATGACGGACAAGGTTCAAACGAGGACAGCTTCTACTGCAGGACTCGCACGATCTACAGCGCACCGTGCCGGGTTGGCGATGACTGAATCAGGTTAGGCGAGGGAGCTAGCTAAGGTGTGTCTATGACTACAGCTCTCTCGCGTCATGATCCCTCTTGGCCTTAGCTTGCAGTGTCAAATTGTCAAAGATTGTCGCTGCGATCGAGTGTTTGTCAGAGAGATGATCGAACGGTTCGACGCGACATGCTGCGACTTCGAGGTGATACACGCCGTTGATTGGTTCGCCTACGTCAACGATGAAATAACAAAGCCGCCAAGAAACTCCAGCCGAAAATCCCAGGGTTTGGAACACCGCAGACTGCGCTATAGGGATTGCACCTGTTGTCGATTGTGTATCCACCTGGCTATGTTTACGGATTCGATATATCGTTTATTCATCTCGTCTTGTTGAAATTATAAACTAAGAAATATGTGCAGTTTCGGGAGCGGAAAGTCATATTATTCCTTTAGGCAAAGTCGGTGTAGACCTGTAACGCGAATAATCGCCCCCCAACCACTATCCTCTGCGCCTGTGCATCCAGAAAATACCTCGTCGAGCAGTCTAGAGAGATATCACCTGCGCTCAAGGAATTCCACAATTACTTGTCAGCGGGTTTCACGGTAGCGCTACACTACATCTGCCACCGTAGACTCTGCGTGGGAGATGTTTCAGCACCGCTAGTGTTCGCGAGAGTGGCCACAAGGTATCTCCATCCCGATGCGTGTCACGGGACGGAATGACCATTCCGATGTGTGCCACGGCCGTCAACCCTAGAAACCAGCGCTTTTGACGCTGGGAAAGATTGCGTTGATTCTTCCAGATCCAGTCCACCCAACAATCCACTGCTGCGAGCTGCTCTCTACATCTAGTAATTTCTGGTCCTTACCTCCCTCCCGTCGATCTTCATATACGAGTCCACAACTAGAAACCTCTAATATTCTTCGCCCTCCGTCCTCCCTTTCCTCCATTCCTATTCTCCCGTGCTTCCAGCTGACCATCCTTCTACGAATCCGCCACTAGAAGCCCTTTTAGGAAGCCCTTTTAGGAAGCCCTTTTAGGAAGCCCTTTTAGGAAGCCCTTTTAGGAAGCCCTTTTAGGAAGCCCTTTTAGGAAGCCCTTTGTCTGAGCTCCCTTCTACGAATCCACCACCACCAGAAGCCGCCATGCAGCTCTTCGTGCTCTACTAGTAATTTCTTCTCCTTACCTCCCTCCCGTCGATCTTCATATTCGAATCCACTACCAGGAGCCGTCACCATAATCTAGGAGCCCTTTCAGGAACCCACCACCATCAGAGCCCTTCCGGGAGTCCAGCAGCACCACCAGCCGCCATGCAGCTCTTCGTCCGAACCCTAGCGGGCACCACGCTCTCGCTCCAGCTCCCGGATTCTGCGCAGGTCGCCGATCTTAAAGACCTATTGTCTACTAAAGCCGGTCCCGCTGCTTCCCGCCAATACCTCCTTTTCGAATCGCGCCTGCTCTCCGACGATGCCGCGCCGCTCGCATCCGTATTCGCGACCCGGCGCGATCGTCCACGTCAGCATGATGTACACCTGTATCGCGACCTGACCGTCCACCAAACTTTTCTTCTGCCCGGAGGAGCGCCTCAGCCCGCGGTCCCGCGGCCGAAACTAAACTTCAATCAGCGGCCGCCTCCTAACTATGTCGCCGGTCTCGGTCGAGGTGCGACGGGCTTCACGACGCGGTCCGATATCGGTCCCGCGCGGGCGGCTCCGGACATGCCGGACCGCAACGCGGCGCCGCTCGGTCGGGGGAGAGGCGCGGGAGGGGGAGCGGGGGGAGCGGAGGAGGAGGAGGAGGGGGAAGAGGAGGAGGAGACGGGGAAGGAGAAGAAGGAGGTGAAGTACGATGAGCATCAGAAATTCGACGAGTTCGAAGGGAACGACATGGGGCTGTTCGCGACGGGGGAGTATGACGACGACGACAAAGACGCGGACGCGGTTTGGGACGGGGTTGATGATCGGATGGACGATCGGCGGCGCGACCGGCGCGAGGCGCGGCTGAAGCAGGAGATTGAAAAGTATCGCGCATCGAACCCGAAGATCACGGAGCAATTCGCGGATCTGAAGCGTGGGCTGGGCCAGATGTCGACCACTGATTGGGACAGCATCCCGGAAATCGGGGATTACAGCTTGAGGAACAAAAAGAAGCGGTTCGAGAGCTTTGTTCCTGTACCGGACACGCTCTTAGAGAAGGCGCGGCAGGAGAAGGAACACGTGTCGGCGCTGGACCCCAAGGGGAAGGGCGCCGTTTTGGGCGGCACTGAAACGCCGTTCGCGTCGCAAACGCCCGTTACAGATCTGACGGCTGTGGGAGAGGGGCGCGGTACGGTGCTGAGTTTAAAACTCGATCGGCTCTCTGACAGTGTAACGGGGCAGACTGTAGTGGATCCGAAGGGGTACTTAACGGATCTTAAATCCATGCGGATCACCTCTGACGCGGAGATCTCGGATATTAAAAAGGCGCGCCTGCTGCTGAAATCGGTAATCCAGACTAATCCCAAGCACGCGCCAGGATGGATAGCTGCCGCCCGCCTAGAGGAACTTGCCGGGAAGCTTCAAGCCGCGAGGGGGTTTATCCAGAGGGGGTGCCAGGAGTGTCCTAAGAACGAAGATGTGTGGCTAGAGGCTTGCCGGCTTTCTTCGCCCGACGCGGCCCGAGCCGTGATCGCGCGGGGAGTGAAGGAGATCCCGACATCTGTCAAGCTGTGGATGCACGCGGCTCGGCTGGAGAAGGATGACGTGGCAAAATCCCGCGTTTTGAGGAAGGCTCTGGAGCACGTGCCGGACTCGGTGCGCCTCTGGAAAGCGGTGGTGGAATTGGCCAAGGAAGACGACGCGAGGATTCTGCTGTCCCGCGCCGTGGAGTGCTGCCCGCTGCATGTGGAGCTTTGGCTGGCGTTGGCCCGGTTGGAGGTTTACGATAATGCCAAGAGGGTTTTGAATAATGCCAGAGAGGCGCTGCCGACCGAACCGGCTATTTGGATCGCTGCTGCGAAGCTGGAGGAGGCGAATGACAACGACGGGATGGTGGGGAAGATTATAGAGAGGGCTATTAGAGGGTTGCAGAGAGAAGGCGTGGTGATAGACAGAGAGGCTTGGATGAGGGAAGCTGAGGCAGCTGAGCGGGCGGGGTCTGTTGCCACGTGTCGTGCTATCATTCGCTCGACGGTGGGTATGGGGGTGGAGGAGGAGGACCGGAAACGAACCTGGGTGGCTGATGCTGAAGAGTGTATTAAAAGGGGGTCGGTGGAAACTGCCCGGGCGATTTTCGCGCACGTGCTGACCGTTTTCCCGGGCAAGAAGTCGGTGTGGCGGCGGGCAGCCCAGCTGGAAAAAACGCACGGGACACGCGAGTCATTGGACGCGCTGCTGCGCCGGGCAGTCACGTACTGCCCGCAGGCCGAAGTGCTCTGGCTCATGGGGGCAAAAGAAAAGTGGCTGGCGGGAGATGTCCCTGCCGCCCGCGCGATCCTCGAGGAGGCATACGCCGCCATACCAGATTCTGAGGAGATCTGGCTTGCTGCATTTAAGCTGGAGTTTGAGAACAGGGAGTCGGAGCGGGCCAGGAGGCTGCTTGCTAAGGCGAGAGAGATGGGGGGAACGGAGAGGGTGTGGATGAAGTCGGCAATTTTAGAGAGAGAGGTGGGGAATGTGGAGGAGGAGAGGGCGTTGTTAGAGCAGGGGCTGAGGCTCTTTCCCGGGTTTCATAAACTCTGGCTTATGCTCGGGCAGCTTGAGGCGAGGCAGGGCAGGTCCGGGGCTGCCCGGGAAATTTTCCAGCGGGGGCTGAAGCAGTGTCCGGGCAGTATTCCGCTCTGGCTGTGCGCTGCGAAGCTGGAGGAAGATTTAGGTGCGGTCAGCAAGGCTCGGGCGATTCTGGAGCAGGCTCGGCACAAGAACCCGCAGACGCCGGACCTGTGGCTGGCTGCGGTTCGGACGGAGGCTCGGGCAGGGAACAAGAAGGCCGCCGAAGCTACCCTAGCCAAGGCTCTCCAGGAGTGCCCTAGCAGTGGGAGATTGTGGGCGGAAGCTATAGAGATGGCACCGCGAGCGCAGCGCAAGTCACGCAGCGTCGATGCGCTGAAGAAATGCGACCACGACGCGTACGTCGTCGCTGCCGTGGCTCGGCTCTTCTGGTCCGATCGGAAGGTTGACAAGGCTCGGAACTGGTTCGGGAGGGCGGTGACCCTTGCTCCGGACGTGGGGGATTTCTGGGCGCAGCTGTGGCGGTTTGAGAAGGCGCATGGGGGGGAGGAGCAGAGGGCGGAGGTGGTGAGGCGGTGCGTGGTGGCTGAGCCGCGGTATGGGGAGGTGTGGGCGCGGGCGGCGAAGGCGGTAGAGAATGCTCACCTGTCGACAGAGGCGCTGCTGAAAAAGGTGGTGCTGATGATGGATAGGGAGGAGGCGGCTAAGACCGCTGCTGCTGGTGCCAGTGCTGCTGGTGCAAGTGGTGGTGGTGGTGCTGCTGCTGGTGCCAGTGCTGCTGGTGCAAATGGTGGTGGTGCTGCTGCTGCTGCTGCTGCGCCCCCTGCTGCTGCTGCTGCTGTCACTATGGAAACTGAAGAGCAGTAGACTAGTGGTAGTCTTGTGGCGGCTAAGGCGGTGGAGAATGCTCATCTGTTGACAGAGGCGCTGCTGAGGAAGGTGGTGCTGATGATGGATAGGGAGGAGGCGGTGAAGACCGCTGCTGCTGGTGCCAGTGCTGCTGGTGCTGCTGGTGCTGCTGATGCAAGTGCTGCTGGTGGGGCTGGTGGTGCTGTTGCTAGTGGTGGTGGTGCTGCTGCTGGTGCTGCTGCTAGTGGTGCTGCAAGTGGGGGGTCTGCTGCACCTATGGCAACTGTCGAGTAGTCTTGTGGTGCTGCTGAGGAAGGTGGGGGTGATGTTGGACCGAGAAGAAGCCGCCAAGACCGCTGCTGCTGGCCTGGCAGTGCTGGTGGTGGTGCTGCCGGTGGTGGTGCCGAGGCCAAGGGGGGGTTTGCTGCAGCAGCCATGGCAATCGTTGGGTGGTGTGGTGTCTAGAGGTGCTGATGGATCAAGAGATCCTTGGGTTAAAACCCGTTTCCTGACGCCGGGCTCACTGGAAAATGTCCAAGGATCTGTGTAGAGGTGCTGATGGATCAAGAGGAGGCTGCCAGGACCGCTGCTGCTGGCAGTGCTCCTGCAGCCTGCTGCTGTTCCTACCTACTGATGCTTCTGGCAGTGCTCTTGCTCCTGCTGTTCCTGCTGATGCTGGTGGTAGTGCTGCCAAGGCCATGGCTGCTCCTTGTGGTCCTGACCTACCTCTTCCTCGTTCTGTTGCTTGCTTGCTATTTTCCCGTCTCTGGTGTGCTGCTTTGAGCTTGGGGGGACTGCTGATTGATGGGTGTTACATTACAACCAGGAGGTAGCTGTTTCCTCACTGCTTGACTTGACGGGTGTTCAAGTGATTTAGTTACTCCAATACTAGTACGACTGTCTGCCTATGATACGATCATTTGCCTATGAAGGTTAGCCTTGCCGGTGATCTTTTGCACACTTGCAAAATGTTTCGAGCATGGGAAATTTGTAGTTGAGTGCAGCAGACTGTATTCATTAGCAAAGTTACCTGTACAACAAGTTTCAAAGCTACCACCAAATTGTCTTGCAGAAGAGTAGCAGCTCAGCTCCTTGAGAAAATTACGACCTAGCTACTGTAGTCTACAAGCTACCGTACCATAGTGGCACAAACAACGCACCAAGGCACCACCTCCACCAGCTCCACTCCACTCCATCCTTTCTACTCTTTGTCTACCCTCTTGTTTACCCAAGAGGATGGACCCCAGGAGCTCCCAATAGTACCGATAATCAGCGCCTCTTGATAAGCCCGAGAGCTTGCTTGACCAGCGACTTCTGCTCTGCACTCAGCCGCCTCGGGACCTGCAGCTCAAGCTTCACCCGCAAATTCTAAGCCACGTCCCAAGGATACCAGCCAGAACTTGGTGCCTGAAGTTGAAGAAGCATCATGCCCCACTGTCCCACTACTCACTGGCCAAGGGCTTGCTTGACCAGAGCCTTCTGCTCTGCATTCAGCCGCCTCGGAAACTGCAGCTCAAACTTCACCCGCAAATTCCCCTTTTTCCGGGGCTCTTTTGTCGGCATACCCTCGCCCGCCACCACCTTCTCATACCCAGGCGAAATCACCTCCGTTACAGGCACCTCCAGCCTCCTCCCATCTAGGGTGGTTACCATCACCGTGTAACCCGTCAGCGCCTCAGCCAGGGTCAATTTCTGGGTGTAGATTAGGTCGTTGCCGTCGCGCTTGAATCTATCGTGGGGTTTCTCGTCGATGACGAAGACCAGGTCCGCGGCGAGCATGCCGGGCTGCTCGTTGCCCTTCTCTGTGAAGGTGATCTTGGTGCCCCTCTTCCACCCGGGCTTCACGTTGATGGTCAAAATTTCTTCCACTGGCAGCGTTTTCCTGAAATGACGGGAGCAAAGGGAAAGGGGGAGAAAAGGGAAGGCGGGAGAAATGCACTCAATACCATGCCCAGGGAAACGCCAGAGGAAAGCAGAGAACAGAAATGAACGTGCACGGAGACAAGGACGGAAGAAGCAGCCATGCGTTTCCGATAGCTGAGCTTACCCGCTGGCGTCGGCGATGTTTCTGGAGATTTTCATTTTCCTGGTGGATCCGGTATAGAGCTCCTCGAGAGTGCACATAAGCTTGTTCTCAACAGGAGGCGGCTTCCTAGGACTCCTGGGGCTTCTGGGCGACTGACCGCCGAACGCGCCAAACGGGGACTCGTCTCCGCCAAACATCTCCTGAAACTGCACGTTTCCGCCGCCCATTCCGCCCATTCCGCCCATTCCACCCATTCCGCCCATCCCCCCCATTCCGCCCATTCGCGGGGATCCCCCTGGTGACATACGCGTTACGCGGATGCCAGGACCGCCAAACCCGCTGAAGGAGCTTCCGCCGCCGCCGAACGGGTTTGCGCCGCCGAAAAACTCGGCGAAAATATCTTCCGCATTTCGCGGGTTGAACGACTGGAAGCGCACTCCGCCGCCGCCGCCGCCGCCGGGCCCGCCGGGAAATCCGCCGGGGAACCCCCCGTTGGGTGCGCCGCCTGCTGCGCCGGGAGGAGGCGCGCCGCCTTTAAGACCCTCCTCTCCGTACTGGTCATAGATTTGACGCTTCTCGGGATCGCTGAGTACCTGTGCATGATAACGGGTATTAAGGCAAAGTTAAGGACAAGGACAACGCTAAACGGCATCATACGATCTGACCAAAATATCGAATCAATGCGGGAAAGACTTCCCAGCATATGCGAATTTGATCGATGTTTCTTTGAACACCCGGAAAAAAAGAAGAAAAAGAGAAAAAGACAAAAGAAAGAGAAAAAAAGGGGCATTGGTGAGAAATTCGTACCTCGTATGCCTCTGAGATTTGCTTGAACTTGGCTTCCGCTGCGTCCTTGTTGTCGGGGTTCTTGTCCGGATGCCACTTCATCGCGAGCTTTCGATACGCCTTCTTCAGGTCGTCGTCTGTCGCGGTCTTCGAGACATTGAGCAGACCGTAGTAATCGATCCCCATCTTAGTACGACTCGTAATCAATCAACGGTTTCGTGGGTAAAAAATGAACGAATCAAGTGAGTTCCCAGTCAAGTAATAGGGTGGCCAGGAGTAAGTAGGCCCTAGAGGAAGCTGATGAAGAATAGAGCAGAGTAATTGCTAGAGTGCTTGTGTCAGTCTGATTGAACTGGTGAGTAATGGAGTAATTTGTGAGGAGATACTAGTATTTATAGGCAGGGGAGAGAAAGAGACAAGGGGTAGGGGAAGGGGAGGGGAGAGGAGATACGAGAGGCGAAAGACAGGATGGTGCTGGAATGCGCGTGGCGAAACGGAGCGAAGCAAAACGAAAGAAACCGAATGTGCGCGAAGACGAGCGAAGCCAGGCGAAAAGTCGCGAAGCGAAGCTCGCGGGCCGAAATGAAGTTTCACGAACTCTCTCGAACGTTCGAGAACATTCCCGTCAATTCCAGCACTTCCCAGAACAGCCCCTTGGGATTGACGCGCATGGAGGAAGGGGGGCGGAGGGAGAGGAACCGCGTCGTGTGTGGGGGCGTGCAGTTGTGAAGGGGGGCTAAGCGAGTTGCGGGCGCGCCATGCAGGTGCGTATGGGGGGGAGCAGAACAGCACAGTGCGGGGATGAGGAGGGAGGGAGGAGAGGGAACCAACCCCCCCAACACATCAGCGGACGGTACCCACCCCCCCAACGCGAGGGCTAGCTGATGAATTTTCTCCTCCTCGGCTGGGTGAACCTGCTGCCCTAGAAGGACTTCGGGTGAATGTTCGTTGCCACTGTAACGAAGGCCACGCCCGTGACAAGACTGAACAATTCAAACAAGTGAGATATTGTCTTAGAATGGGATGCTAGTGCATGACATAATGTAAGCAAGTGATGGCATCCATCCATTTTCATATAGCTTACGGTGTGTCCTTCCAAGATTAGATGCCACTACGACGTCAGTTTGACCTCATTCAGTCTTACCTATAGCGCATAAGACTAAATACGTGTATACAAATGTGCAAGAATCGATATCAAATTCTCCACCTATATTGCGAAAAGATAGAGCGACACTGCACCCACCTACGATATATATTTCCGCCCCCTCTTGACCTACCACTACTGTTCCCCGTCTTGTATTGGAGGATCATCATAAGAAGGCCTGCCCAGCTGCAGTGTAATCCTTGTCTCATCAACCTCACGCAAGATCCTCGACTGCTCAGTATCCCCTATTAAAATAGAAGAGCTAAAGGCTTGCATCCATGAGGGAGCATGGCCATGGCTTCTGCTCCTCCCGAGGCCCCTTCCTGCCAGACCAGCACCTAAGCCAGCCTGCTGCTGCTGCCGCTGCTCCTGCTGCCGCTCCTGCTGCTTGTGCTGCTGGTTCTGCTGCTGCTGCTGCTGCTGCTGCTGCTGCTGCTGCTGCTGCTGCTGCTGCTGCTGCTGCTGCTGCTGCTGCTGCTGCTGCTGCTGCTGCTGCTGCTGCTGCTGCTGCTGCTGCTGCTGCTGCTGCTGCTGCTGCTGCTGCTGCTGCTGCTGCTGCTGCTGCTGCTGCTGCTGCTGCTGGTGCTGGTGATGCTCAAGCTGCAACACGTCCCTCCTCACCCCCACATCCCAAGTCGCCGAGTCTCTTCCTAACTGCTGGGGAGCCGCCTCTTCAAATGCATCCGTGGACAGCAGGCGGGAGGATAGGGGACGGGAATGGGCTGGTGCTGAGTAATCTGCAGCTCCAACTGCTGGTAAGCTAAGAGACGTGACCAATGGAGCAGTCATGGCAGTATGTGGTGGCCTTTCTGCACATGCAGCAGCAGCAGCAGTGGCAGCAGCAGAACCAGCAGACCCCGGCGCAGCAGCAGCAGCCGCAGGCGTAGCCGCTGCTGCAGATACAGTGCGTGTTTCTTCCCCTCGTTGCCTCAACACTCGCAGCAGAAGCTCGGCCTGAACAGTTACAGGAACAGCAGCGGGAGCAGAAGCGGCACCGGCAACAGCAAACGGCGCAGCGGATGCAGGAGATACAGCACCTGCCGAAGCAAGGGACGCGGTAGCGGCAGGAGAGGCAGCAGCAGCAGCAGAGGCAGCAGCACCAGCGGTAAGCGAGACAGTAGAAGGGGAGAGGGGATCTGAAGCAGGCAGGCCGCTATTTGCACGACTTCTAGCAGGCGCAGCAAAACAGATAGCGGCAGAAGGAAAAGGGGAAGCTCCAGCAGGGGGAGGAGCACCAGCGACACGCGGCTCGATATCAGCAGTAGCGGCGGCAGTTGGAGTGTGAGGGGCAGGGGAGGGGGGCAAAGGAACACCAGCAGCAAACAAGGAATTTCTGGCAGGAACAGCAGTGGGAGTAGCGATAGACGCAGCAGCCGACGCAAGAGAAGCGGAGGCGGCAAAAGCGGCTGTAACAGCAGCAATGGACCTCTCCTCTAGCAGCGGAGCGCTTTGAGAAGCCACGATCCGGCTGCCGGTGGTGGCTGGGGCGGTGGAGCGAGGGGAGGAGGAGAAGAGAGGGTTGGCAGTAGTGCTGCTGCTGAGAAGCCTGGTGGTAGAGGCTGGGGCGGATAGAGTGGGGCGGAAGCCCTCTAGCCGTGAGATGTTGAAACGGGAGTATTCCTTCCAGCTGCGTTTCTTTCCCAAGGGGTTGGTGCTGGGGGATGGGAGGAGAACCGATGGTGCTGCTGCTGCTGTTGATGGTGTTGCTGATGGTGATGGTGGTGGTACTGCTGCTGTTGGTGATGCTGCCGATGGCCCGGTTGGCAATAAAATAGCTGAAGGTAGCGGTGCTGACACGGGGCGGGACAAACTAAGTGAAGTACGCTCCGAGGGGACAACAAGTACGGGCGGCCTTCCTAGTGTACTTGTTGCTGGAAAATGGTCGGAACCACGGGGAACATTGCGCTCAGCTTCTTTTTTTAGTCGACGCAAAAAAACGCCATGGGTTGCTGGAGCTCGGCCTGAATCACTGGGAACTTGGTTGCGCGCAGCTTGATCTCCAGACCCCTGGAAGCTGCTAGTCCTTATTTGAGGCACCTCAAAGATAGTTGCTGGAGCTCGGCCTGAACCACTGGGAACTTTGTTGCGCGCAGCTTGATCTCCAGACCCCTGGAAGCTGCTGGTCTTTGCAGGAAGATTCAAGTCAACCATCATGGTGATAACTCCAGGACCAGTACCTGAAGGACCACCTGAAGTTCCACCTGAAGGACCACCTGAAGGACCACCTCGAGACCTGGACGGCTCCTCAAGAGCCGCAGCAGCCTGGGGTAGGCGATCAACCCCCCAACTAAATTCCAGCTGCCCCCGAGGAGGAGATCCCAAGTGCTCAAGCGGATATCCCACCTGCCCCGGAGAAACTCCTTGCTGCCCCGGGGAAGATCCCCAGTGAACCCGCTGTGTTGGAGAAGGCTCGTTTCGCTGCATGCTGCTTCTGCTGCTGGCAGAACCGCCGAGTGTCGCTGCTGGGGCAGGAATGGCTGGTGGTTGCCAGCGGTCAGCCAGAAACTGCTGGTTCTTCTGGCGGGTGTCTATGCCCATGATGGCTGGTTCCGTGTCAGCGCTTGGATAAGGGGAGCGATAAAGGGTTGAGGGCCGCTGCTGCTGCTGCTGCTGCTGAGGCTGCTGCTCTTGCTCTTGTTGTCGCCGCCAATGCTGCTGCTCCTGCTGCTGCTGCTCAAATCTCCACGGTTGTGGCCGCTGCTGCTGCTGCTGTGGCTGCTGCTGTGCTTGATGCAGCGGCTGCAGCGGCATGGGGCTGGGGATGATAGGGCAGAAGGAGGCCCTGAGCCGGAGAGAGTCCGCCTGATGCTGCTGCTGCTGAGGCGGCGGCGGCGGCGGCTTCGGCTGTGGCTGTGGCTGTGGCTGTTGCTGAACCTGATGCAGCGGCTGTAGCGGCGTGGGGCTGGGGATGATGGAGCAGAAGGACGCCATGAGCCGGAGAGACTCCGCCTGTGCTTCAGAAAACGCAGCAACGGCTGCTGCAGCTGCTGCCCTGTCGTCAGATGAATCCACCACCAGGTTCAGAGCCGGTCTAAGGGCACTGGGGAGGACCATAGCAGCAGAAGGAGCAGAAGCGAGCCCGGCTGCTGCTGCTGCTGCTGCTGCTGCTGATGATGATGATGATATTGGAGCTGTGACATTTCTGTCCATAGTAAGGCCAAAAGCTGGCCCGAAACCTGGTGACGCCTCGGTGCCGGGAGCTGGTGCGGATTCTGCAGCAGCACACCCTGAGCCAGATACGAAGCCATGGTCAGCAGCACACCCTGAGCCAGGTGCAAAGCCATGGTCAGCAGCCTCACTCCGACTCGCAGCCTGACTCCCGCTGGTGTACTCTCCACGGAGTCCCTGGATACTCGCTCCCAATCCTAGATCCAAGAAGCCTGCGGGCTCATGATGCTGCCGCACGGATGCCTGAGGATTCCCAGACTTCTGGCCTTCACCGTCTTCCGTCTTTGAGTCATGGTCGTCTTCGCCGGGATCCGGCGATCGAGCTGATGTTTCCATTGTAGAATGATGGAGCCGTTCAGCCTGAATTCCGGCTATGCTGGTAGAGCCGGAGAAGCCTGAGTTCCGGCTTTCCTGGTAGAGCCGTTGAGCCCAATGACGCCGTTGAGCAAAGGGAGACCAACCACGCCGTGTCAGCAGCACTGCTGGCCTGGTGTCTTTGCGCCTGGAGATAATAGTGGACTTTCGGAGTATGTCGCCCTTGGAGAGGTCCTACTATGTGATTCACTAGGTCGGGTCGGACCTTGGAGAGGTCATTCAGAAAAATCAGGCTGGTTCTACGCTACAACTCCTAACCATCCTCAAAGGCTCTGCTACTCTACAAATCCCAGCCCTCACAAAAGCTTGTGCGGCTCGCAAAAGCCAGATCTGGTGTGGTGACCATCACCTAGGTACTTCTGCTATTTCACTAGTACTACTGCTATGTGTTCTCAAAATGTGCTACAAGTGCCTGACAAGTTGAGCTCATATTTATGCCCCGTATGTGTGCAGCGGCCGCTTCACCGAATCCAGCGCACCGTTGCACTGGATTTAGAAGCTTCAGACTGTTGAGCAAGCTCCGCGGTACAAACTGTTGAAGAAGAAGCTGCTGAGGAAGAAGGACTGCCCTTCCGAAGGACTCGGAGTCCTCGGAAAAAAGGGACCTGATATTGTAGCGGCGACTGTTAGGAGTCTGACCCAGCGCAGCAGAATCCCTCGGGCTGTGTTCGCGCGATGCCGCGGATCCGGTCCAACGAATCAGGTGATGCAAATCGGCGCACCGACCAGGCCGACCAATGTAGGTGGCTTCAGAAAGAGAGGAGGCTCCTCTCTGGAGAAACGAAGGGACACATTCGCTGTGGTACAAGCCTCACTTCGACGGCGCCGGCCAGAGAGGCGTCACATGCGCTCCAGCTAAGTTCAAAGATGCAAAATGCAAGTCTTCTAACGCCGATCCGTGATACAGCTCTGCCACGGAGGGTTTCAGCTGACGACAGACTAGCATCCAGGCCATCACGAACTGTCTGCAGCGTATCCCAACTTGTTTAGTCTGATCTGCATAGCTGTTATCCTGACCATCCCTCAATCTCGCTAAAAGAGTCCCCGCTTTTGCCCAACTGTGACCTCCCTAAAATTGCATCCCTTGCATCCCCGAATTTTAGCTTCCCCTGGTAAGTCCGAGGAATAGAGCTGTGAGAAGTGAATGGACAAGTTTTGCCAGTGCCAGATCCCCAGCTTGTGCCTTACCCTCAGGGCGTGGTACTGTGGGTTCAAACTGGCCATTTTTCGGACGTAGAAAGAGGTTGAATGCGTTTTCGTTTGCTTCTGTGAGATACAAGCAGCGTACAGTGTGACGAGAGTTCAAAAACCAGCTGTTTCAAACCCAAAGTACCGCTCCCTCAGCTCGTCCTCAGTCCATCTGCAGTTAGAAATTTGAATGGACGACTTGCCCTGGTGTTCATTGGGTGGACCAGACTGTCTGACAGACAGGAAAGTGACGCAAGGTGCCCCCCCCCCACCCATCCCCCAATGTGGCGGAATGGAAGTCAGTCCCTTTTCATCACGCGTGGAACTCGATGAGCCACTTGATTGGACGGTCTTAACGGAAAGAGACGGAACGGCAGCGATGTGTCACGTGAACAAGCGTGCTTCTACAGTTAGCAGCACTGTACAGTGGCGAGGTTCTGTTGATGTTCACGCGGCCTACGTGTGGGACCAAACGCAACGAGCAAGCAAGCTGTCAAAATCGGCAAGCCTCAAGCCCCAAGATTCCGGGAAGGCTGCCCCTACTTGGCAACTTAATTCTGACCCGGGTGTGAACCGGTTCAAGCAGGCCTCGTAAAACAATAGTAATCACCCTTGATTTCGTCAAATTAAGAGTAGCATTACTAGAGATTCCGTTTTTTTGCGGTATGATGGTTTTTCCGAATCCGTCCAACTTACGGAAACTATTTCGCGCGATTCCTTAGCCTAACGAGTACTCATTTTTGAATCCGTAGGGGCTATACTTGTAGTAGGGCAATCTGCAGGGCGAAGCGGCCTCATCTCCACCGTTGCTAGCGGAATTTGTAGCGGTGGATTCCTTTTAGTGACGGATTTTTTTTGTGGTGGTTCCATCTGTTAACGGGTCATCCAGAGGCGATTCTGTTCCCTTGCGGAATACCCTGGAGCTTAGCGAGAGGCCTGGTTTCAAGGTGCTCAAAATATCTCATTTCAAAGCGTCACATTATGGCAGGAAAGTTCGTCATAATTTGGCGTTTCACGTACAAAAGAAACTGTCATTATGGTGCACAAATCCAACTCCAGACTTGCCCACCCCTGAGCTCTCGTATCCACTGGTGCTGCCTGCAGGAGCAATTACCCTATGCCGTGAAACGCACACACACATCGGCAGCGGAAACTGCAACTGTGAACAGTCCTTACGCAGGGAACCGCCAAACCAGGACTAGAGCATTCCACTGGCAGATTTCCAACGAAGTCCTTACGAAATTGATGGGAAGTATTCCAAGTAATCCGTGATGCCAACGGACAACGGTGTTATCCGTAATCACACAAAACTCGATCCTATTTCTCGACGGAAACAAGGAAAGCGCAATGTAGGAAAACGGTGATCCAGCCAGAAATTACTCTACATTCTCGACATTAAGGGGGAACTACTTTAGTTGCAAGAGCGCTGCTGTGACCTTTTCTGGATCTGGAGGGTCACCGTGAAGAAATGCCAGGGGCCCAACAACATTTCTCAAGGATGACGGTGTTCATGCTGGGTGACCTGAGAGACCATAGATTCGCTTTGCTTGGCATGGAAGAGATCATTCCGTGACAAAGGATCAAACTTTTGGAGTAACTACCTTGATTGTGCATCAAATAAAAGATATTGTTGAGTAAGAAAAGAAAGTGCTCATTTGTTTGCAATACTAGCAATAGAGGGCAGTGTGCTGTAATACCTTGAATGCAATCGTAGTAAGATACGTGGGCGCTGGAAACCCATTAGTCCCTAAGCACTCACGCTTCTTGTTCCCTCCCTACGCGAAACAACTATTTCCTGCAATCGAGACTCGGGCGTAGTGCGTTTCCATTTGTTCTAGTAGCAACAAATGTTGAAACGCCTGAATTCAAACCCACTGCACTGCGGCCTTCCTCCCTCTCCTTCGGATGATTCAAGCAAACCAGAACCAAAAGGGTACGGTTCATATAAACCACGAAGCTTAAGACTACTGCTGACATGGACCCAAATTTATCAGGGAGGCCGAGAACCCAAAATGAGCCCTCCTCTCCCTCCCAGTCGCCAAGCCATTCAGCTGGGAAAAGGCTGTGGGTTGGGGGAAGGGGAAATGATCAAACTTCATTTATGCCATCATGCCATTGTGCTGGCCAGAACCTTGAGGTTGGGCTAATTGATGCACCTAGCACGCGTTATTTTCGCACCCAGTATTTTCATAGGGGGTGCCGCCGAGAGGGTATTCACCCCCTGAAAGCAGCTCCTGAAGACCAGATCTGGATACCCTTGGAAAAAAAAAACATTCGAACTTGGGTTTCTATACGAAACGTTTACTGTTCGATTTAGTGTTTCTCGAGTCAGGAAACCCGACGTCAGCTTAGGCAGTGCTATAAGTTTTTGCCCGCGTTGTAGTCTTCCCAGCTTAGGCCGTAGGGACAAGGGGGTACTGTCGACGCACTCAGAAATGGTCAGGGTGGAAACAACTGTTTTTCTGCCGCCCAGTTTCAGGGTGTAAAATTACCGCGGGCTAGGTGTAGCCTGCAACCTTCTGTACATTTGGTCTAGTGATGCAGAAAGAACGCTTATGGTTGCAGGAAGCGCATGGGAATGTTTACCAACACTGTAGGAAAATGCATGGTGGAAAGATGTAAGGAAATAGTATGTCCTTATAACAGCTTTTAGTTAGTAAGAAGTACACTATTATAGCGGGGTTGCCACATAGCTCTGCCACGAAATTCAAATCACGGTACCCAAATGTGGCCTCATAACGAGCCGCGTGCATTTAGCATGCCTTGCCGTTTCATGCATAGATGTAGGCTAACTATATCCATGCTCCCTGCTGTTCGATCTCGTCTTAGTTGTATTATTTCCTCGTTACTCAATCATTCAACACCGCTCTTTGCGCTTCATTACACGTGGTATCAGAGTCAACAATCCTTCAGCATTGCGTTCTAGTTCCGCAGCAATACCGATACTTAGGGAGGCTGGCGCCATGTGCTTACTGCATATCCGTTGTCTTAGTAATATTAATTGATAATTACCTACAGCCACGACTGTGTTCGCAGTGCGAACGTACCGAAAGCCACCCAAAACTCTCCGCGAAATGGAGGATCAGTCGACGTCTACTGTCATGACTCCTGAAGAAAGGGCGACAGCATTCGAAGAACTTTGTCTCACTTACGAGTTGTATCTGCGGGAGTTGGCGCGTCTGCGAACTAAAATGAATCAAGATGAATCAGAGATATTTGCACTGTAGTGTTAAAATTATATAAGTTATAATTTATATAGGCTTGGTAGGTTGTTACTGAACCTTTTCTGTAGAGGGTACAAACCCCTCCTTGTACTCCTCTCTCTTCCTAATCCAACTCACTTTTCCTCTCCTCAACTTTCCTAGCACCTAAAACCTCTCGCCATTCTCATGGCTCCTCCTAGCTCCTAGCTAAACCTTGTGCCATTCTATGGCTTCCTAGCTAAGCTAGTCTTTTGACATGGTATTAGAGCAGTTCGTTCCGTGTGGGCCTGCTCCTCGCGTTTCCGCTGCGTGCTCGTTTCTCTCTCTATCTCGCGCTGCCATGGCGGCCGCGTCAAGCTGCTGTGGCCGCGTCGTCGTGCCGCGGCGCCGCCGTCGACGTCCATGGCGCCCGCGTCCAGCTGCTGTGGCTGCGCCGTCGTGCCGCAGCTCCGCCGTCGCGTCAAGATGCTGTCGCGACGTGACGGCGCCGTCACGCTGCCGCGGCGTCTACGCAACAGCGCGCAGTCGGCGTACCAGCGACGTCGTGCTGCCGTCGCTGCGTCGACGCCCCGCTGCGGCATCGACGCCGCTCCATGACGGCGTCGTCGGGCTGCAGCCGGCCGCGTGACGCTTGTGGCGCCGCTAGACCGGCCGCCCGCATGTCAGCCTGTGGCGCTGCCCCCCCCCCCCACCCCCCCTCCTTCCCCTGCGCCCTCTTCCATTCCGCAGACGACGGCTGACTCCCGCCGGCCGTCCCACAGTCGCGGGGCCAGTCCACGTCACCGAGAGGTGCGGGTGCCGCCGCTGCTGCCGCTGTTGTCGAAGCCGCCGCCGCCGCCGCTGTCGCCGCTTGCGTCGGGGCCACGCAGCCGCACGCCGCCGCCGCCGCCGCTGTCGACACTGCCGCCGCTGCCGCCGTCGCCGCCGCAGCCCCTGCGGTCGACGTCGCCGCCTCGCGCGCCGTGGGGTCGACCGACCTAGAGTCGCTGTCACTGTGGCTGGAATGGGGGTGCTAGGTTAGGGGGTGTGGGTGTGTGTGGGTGTGTGACTACCAAGCCTAGGGGGTGTGTTAAAATTATATAAGTTATAATTTATATAGGCTTGGTAGGTTGTTACTGAACCTTTTCTGTAGAGGGTACAAACCCCTCCTTGTACTCCTCTCTCTTCCTAATCCAACTCACTTTTCCTCTCCTCAACTTTCCTAGCACCTAAAACCTCTCGCCATTCTCATGGCTCCTCCTAGCTCCTAGCTAAACCTTGTGCCATTCTATGGCTTCCTAGCTAAGCTAGTCTTTTGACATGTAGAGCCAAATGCCCAAGACAGGACGCGATACAATCGCACCAACGACAAACCACGGATAATAGGAGCAAGTAACCCGACATCGTCCTAAAATACCTGGCGACAATCAGCGACCACATGCGGCTTCGCCCGAGGGATCGACGAACAACCCAACACCGGCTACTGGAGGGGCAGAAATTGACGAAGGGTCGAATATATATTTGCCGCCCGCAATCACCTCTCCAACGGACTTGCAAGCTGCGACTATTAACATGGCGTCGGGAATCCTCAAGACGCAAAGACCGCTCACGTTCAACCCGAGCCAATGTGACAGTTTGTCCGTCAGCGGGTTGATTTTTCACGTGAACGCTTTTTACGACTACAACCTTGTCACCTAAGGTGCGCAA